CCCCTCACACGCAGAGACCGCCCCTCCCACGCAGAGACCGCCCCTCACATAGAGACTACCCCTCACACAGAGACCACCCCTCCCACACAGAGACCACCCCTCCCACGCAGACCACCCCTCACAGAGACCGCCCCTCCCACGCAGGGACCACCCCTCACACAGAGACCACCCCTTACACACATGCAGAGTCCCCACGAGCCACCGCTGGCTCGAGGGCAGCTGGTATAGCGTGGACAAGATCAAACAGTGGATGAGTCTCAGAAATCAATGGCAACATACAGCTTCATGAGTTGGGGAAGCGCCTCTCCTCCCATCAAGGAATCCCCCTTGGTCTCGCCAGTCTGTTTTTCGCTTCCTGATTCTGTCCCAGGTCCAAACCCTTAGGAGGCTCCAGATGTGGCCTCCGTGTTTCCCTAAGCTTACCAGGAGCCAAGCACTGAAGGTTCCGAGGTTCAAGGAGACTGAGCAGGTCAACAGCAAGTTCAGAATAAAACAATAAATGCAGACAGACCTTGAAGACTTGCTGAAGGAAGTCAGTCAGTGCCAGAAAGGCAAACGTATGGTGGACCTGGAAGAAGGGGACCTCACGGGACAAGCTGTCTTCTGCCTTTGGCGGCGGACATCACGACCCTCACTTCGGTGGAAAATGCTGCTCTTTTTCTCGAAGGAAGGGTTTCTGACTTCCACAGGTTCCAGCTCTTGCAGGCTTGCTGTGTAGCACCCCACACCTAGTACAAGCAGGTGCACAGAGACCACAGTATACTCGTCGCTATAAGGGGTGCGCAGGCAGAAGGGCGATGCACGGCTAAAGGGGCGAGGAGCATTTGGTGACGGGGACCCTGGGGACAGACGGGGGCGGTGGACGGACAACATGACGCAAAGACGTTCACGGCACTGAGCGGAACATGTGAAGAACATTGACACGACAAGGGTTTTATTATGCATCTATTGTAATACACAGCAAACTTCATCACGTAAACGTTTTGGGGGAAATCTCTATGAGCCATCTTTATTTACTTTCTGCCATTCCATAGCGTTAGCGGGCTACTTTTAAATTCAGAATGAGTCACACGTTCAAGTCAGTGTTAAAAAGTAAGTGGTGGGAAAATCCAGTGGGATCGTCATGGGGGTTTCTGGGATTTTCTTAGGCAGACTCTAAGAAACATCTACATTGTCACTTCCTTAAATCACTTAGTCCAGAGTCTCCTGCACTTTGCAGCTCCCGTTTTGTAAACCGCCTAGCTTCTCAATGACCACTTTTTACTTTTCATTTCCACCGGGCTCTGCTGTGTGGCTCTGCAGCATTGGTCAATTCGGTGAAACGGAATCTTCTGCTTGGCTAACTAGATCATTATTAATATACAGTGAACCCTCGCCACTTCGCACTTCGACTTCCACGGCTTCATTCTATCACGGTTTTTGCGTAACAGCACCCACTGCCTACACCCGCTCCTTCAGAGGAAAAAGACGGCGACCCACCTGTAGAGTACATCCCTGAAGTCAGTTCATAGGCTATTGATTACAGTATTTGTAAGAACTATGTATAGTAATACTGTATGTGAAATATGTAATACTGTAAACTAGATGCCATAAATAATATAATATAATAAATAATAAATGATCATTGTAACGTCCAAAATGTTTTACTGTATTTTCCCTTTTTCGTTTAATAAATTGGGTAATACGAGTGTAATGGTGACTAAAGGGTGTTTTTTCATGTCCTCTATGCTCTAACTACGAAAATATTTGATTTACAAATAAGGAATCCTACTTCGCGGAATTTCATTTATCACGGTAGGGTCTAGAACCGATTAACCGCGATAAACGAGGGTTCACTGTAGTCCCCGAATCTTAATTTTCCCCAAGTCTAAGTAATTTACGAGCAAATGTCGAAACCTATGCAATGAAGCTTGCCAAACTCCAAATCCACACATTTTCCCATCTCACCAGGCTGTCTGTATAAAACGGCTTCTGAAGCAGATGAAAGCAGGCATAGCAAACAGCCACTCTTGTTTAGCTGATTCTGACGGACAGCGGCATTGTAGAGCAGATCTGGATTTCCCCGTGCGGTCCCAAAGCTGTACTGTCTATGGACACAGACTGCTACATCTTCCCCCTAGGAACAGCTGTTGAGTTCCAAGGTCTCTCTTTCAGTAGCAGCTCAGCACTAACACTGTGGGACTAGGCATCCCTAAAAGCACCCAACCATCTCTAAAACATCCATCAGAGGAACACACATGAAGAATGAATGAGTGATGCTATCCGGTGTTTACATAATTCATAGTTAAGGAATAATCAGGCTAGCATGATCTCTCTCTTTTGGGATTTTGCATAAATCTACTGATGGGTGGTTGATGAATAAAAACTAAGCATAGCTACAAATGTGATGTATTAAAATATGCCCTCTTTCCTCTATGATCCTTCAAGGGGACTTGGCAATCGCATGGACAACAGAACAAAGCATTTCGGTCTAATGCCATCTTCCCGATCACTGGGCCCAAGGTTGTAGTCAATGGGTGTTTCCAGTGCCTTCCAACCCAGGGGCTAGTTTTCCAGCACTACCATCAGACAGTATTCTATTGTGCTCCGCAGATGCGCATTGGCTACTTTTTGGAAAGAGATAGCTGAGCCTCCCTTTATATTCCGTCTTAGTCCGAAAGTGCTCCTGAATCCTGTCTGCTAGGAATGATCTTGCCGATGCTTGAAATCTCAGTGGCCTCGCTTTCAGCATCGTAGCAACATGCCAGCCACTAACGTGAGGCAAAGTGACAGACAGGCCGGTGGTTTTAGCTCTGTGGATCCCTAAAATTCTCAGAAAACTCGAATGACCATTCTAAGGAGGATCTGTCTTCTCTCATCAAGAATGAAGACAACAGTGATCAACGCATTCCACCCAAAAGGAAGATTTACCACTTGCAAGCGTGCCAGTCTTAATTAGCAGGGACCGATTAGGAATGGGAAGGAGGCACTGCCCACGCCCTGCCATTCGGAGACAGAGCTATGCAGGCACTGGCCCCTTCCCTGCAAGCTTTCTTTAAAAAGGTGAAGAACTGGTCCACCCACCAACGCCACTCCAGTCCAGTCAAACATCAGAAAACCAAGAAGGAAGAGATGGGGCTCCGGCAAATAATCGGGTATATTTTCAAGCCTGCAGCAAGTTTATTGCAAGTTAAAAACAGAAACCTGATTATATAAATTATAAATCCGTCCAGAAGAGAGGCACGACAAGACGGGTGCAGAAGAGGGACAGAGTTGGCGCACAGATTAATGGAAGACAGTGAACATTCATCCCGTAGCACGATTACTTTGTTGCTTCAAAGCCAACCTATACGGAATCATGGATTTTACTGTTCAAACACACGCAGCAACACGTCCCACAATGTTGACGAGGACGCATCAGCAATAATTCGGAAACAGAGGTGAGAAAGGTTACGCTCCAGTTGTTCAACCTTTCCCACCTCCCTTTCCGAATGGTTCCTTCACCAGCAACGCATGCACTGGCCCTACACGTCTCATCTAACCTTTGTGAGATGGCATGGCGGTGTAGCGGTTACAAATTAGGCTGCTAACTGCAAGGTCAGCAGTTCGAAATCACCAACCACTGCGAGGGAGAAAGACGAGGCTGCCTATGCCCTTAATGAGGTACAGCCTTCGAAACTCACAGGGGCAGTTCTAGCCTCTCCTACAGGTTGCTAGAAATCAGCATCGACACCATGGCCATGAGTTGGGTTTAAGTCAGTTTGCTCAATTGATCGCAAAACTGTGAATAAAAGCACAACGTTCACAACAGGCATTTTTCACTAATTGCACTAAACCAGTGTTTGCGAACTCATCTTTTGCAAGGAAACGAAACGGGGTGGGGGTGAGGTGGGAGGATAATGCTATGGAAATGGATGCTCTCCCTGGGGCTCTCGTGCATCTGGAGCAATGCTCCAGCAGCTAAGAACCTCGGTTGTTAGTGGCTGGGATCCAGGTTATCTGGAACACTCAGAAGGAAATAATCAAATAAAATAGAGGAAGCTAGTCTAAAAACACAAAATCTAGTAAGGTTCCTAAAAATAGCTGTAAAGTGAACAGAACTGTCCATAATATAGTTACTATTCCACCAAATGCAGGGCTGAGGAACGTCCTGTCCGGGGCTGAATCGGGACCATGAAATCGACACCAGCTACCCTCACCAGCTTCGCCAAAACAGCAGTTCCCGCCATCACTGTAGCAGTGGGCTCATTGACTATATGCCCAGCGCGGCCGGTGGAGATGTGGTCAATATCCAAGAGGCTCTGGGCAGCAAAGAGGCTCCCCATCCTTGGCCTGGGGGGGGGAGGGGGGTAATTGTTCCCCCTGCCTCTAAAGAGAAACTATGCGAGGGAAATCAAGAATAAGCACAGAGGAGCCATCTAAAGGAATATTCAAGTCCTGTTTAATCTCGACCGACGGAGGCACTTCTACTCGCTCCTCCAAGGCTGATGTGCTCTGGAGTCAAACTGATACCACTCAACAAGGTCCTGTATGGCACTAACTAGAGAAGAGACTTTAACTGGGAGCATTATGACAGACAAGGGCCCCCCCCCCCCGCCCAGTGTAACCTATGACAAGACTATAATAAGTTATGAATTATGAAGGGTCCATGAGGAAGGGGGGACAGGGGAGGGAGGGGGGAAATGAGCAACTGATATTAGGGGCTAAAGTGGAAGGCAAATGTTTTGAGAATGGTGAGGTCAACAAATGTACAAATGTGCTTGACACAATGGATGGATGGAAGGATTGTGATAAGAATGTACGAGCCCCCAATAAAATGATTTTAAAAACACTTGCATCGATAAGGTGGGAAGGTCTATAAGCTCCTCAGGTGCACTATGTGTTGCTGTGCCATTTCGGAGACGCTCACGGAGGGCTTCTGACAGCGTTGAATGTCGTCAACCTCATCTCTACAGTAAATGCAGAAGACGGGCTAATATCTACGTTTCTTTCTCAGGTCTCTCGGAAGCTGCAGGCTACCAAACACCAAAGCAAACTTCCGCGCAGGTAACACCAAAAGAGTAACGTATCCCACACACCAGGTGCTACTTCAAACCAGACACCCAACACATGCCTACGCACGCCCCAAGGAGTGGGGGGGGGGCACAGTGATGATGCCTGGGGTTGCCAACGGCTGGGTCTTCAGTTCGAGGGCAGCAGCTGTGTCCACGGGAGAGAGGAGGGGTTTCTACTCCTACTAAGAAGCACAGTCTCAGAAACTCACAGGGACAGTTCTACCCGGTCTGACAGGGTGGCTGGGAGTCAGACTCAACTCCATGGCCATGAGGATGTTGTTTGCTTGTTGTTTTACAAACACACACCGGCATTGTTTGTATAACGCGCTTAGTTTCCCTACCCAGCTACAGAACTTCCCAAAGATGGGTCTTATTTAGCTTTGTATCCAACCGTCTCAACCCTCAGAAATCTCTGTTTACTTACCAAAAAGAAGGGGTGGACAAAGAAGAACAAAATGAAGAAGCAGCCTCTTATCATCCGGAAGGGAGTTCTGAGTCCTAGCTTGAAAGAGAGCTTTACTGCCCTCAGGAACTTCCAGCAACTACGGTTCCTCAAAGAGACTCGGGGTCCACTATGACAGGCCACTGCCTTGCAGCCTGACAAAGGCCTAACCTTGTCTTTTCCAAGACAAATGGCAAAAGCCAATGGCATACAAGTTCCCTGCACACGACAGAGAAAATCCAGGACTCGACTTGAGGCGACTTCAAAGAGACCCTTTAAATCCAGGCAGAAGTTGCCTTCGCCTCCCTGTTTGCACACGTGACGGCGCAGCTTGGCCGATGCTTTCCGAGCGCCTGCTTTAGAGGCTCCAACTCCCAAAATCCAGTGTTGGATGGGAC